GGGGGGGTCGGTCCCTGGGGTTGGCATCATACCCCGTGCCAAGGGGAGCAAAACCAGAACCAAAACTGGCAGGGCCAGCATCAGGGCCGCCAAAACCGCCAGCAGGACCAGGGGCAGCAGGGTCGAAATTGCCGGCAAAAGGGTTGGGAAAGGTCCCAGGTTGCTGCTGCTGCTGGTACTGTTGCTGGTACTGCTGCTGCTGGTTGCCGTTGCCGATGCCGCTGTCGAAGAGAGGGCCGCCAAACGGGGCTTGGTTCTGAATGTTGCCATGCTGGCCCTGATGATCGTTGCCCTGTTGCTGCTCAGGGTCTTGGTTGCCGGTGGTCGGGGGTCCCAGGACTCGGTCAAGCTCAAGAAGGAAATCAAGGGTAAATTCACCTCCCTGGTCATCTTCGCCCATCTGCTCGTCGTTCTGAGCCGTCTGCTGCTGTGCCTGCTGCGCCTGCCGCTGGGCGTCATCGAGAATAGCTCTGAGCTCCTCGTCGGTAGGCGGGATGAGGTTCTCGTTAGGAAATTCCACCTCGAAATAGAATTGGTCGTCGCCAGGGCCGGGAAGTTCGCTGTCATGGTCCACGAAAGGGTCCTCCATGTCCAGGTACGGAAGAGGCTGGCCAAGGTACGGAACGGGCTGGAGCAAAAGATCGAGGCGGTTCGCTTCGTTGTTCGATTCGATCATCGTCTCATACAGCTGGTCGAGGTGCTCAAGGCCCAAATCGATTGCGTCGACGTCCTCCTGGCTCTGTGCGGTGTTCTCTGCGGTGGAGGCTGGGATCTCGAAACCGAAAATATCGTCGTCCTGGGCGTTCTGCTGGTTCTGATCGTTCTGAGCAATGTCTTGTGCAAGTTGCGTGAAGGGATCCTAGTCCACACGCGCGTTGAAGACATTGACATCGTGCTGCTGCGAGAACTGCATGCCTTGGATGTTGTTCGAGGGGTTCATGCCCTGCTGGTCGTTGAAGCCGCCTTGGTGAAACCATCCAAGGTTCACGGCACCCTCGAGAGCTTGAATATGGCCATGGGCATTGTTCAAAGTACCACCAAAAGAGGCTTCGGGCATCTGGGTGAGTCTCGGATCGATAAGGTCGGGGTTCCACAAGCTCTGGTTACTGTGATGAGGTCCATGTGCCTTTGGCGGTGGTCAGCAAGTCAATGAGCCTGGGGTGCGTGTGGTGGTACTTACAGTGACAGGGCGAGGGTCCTGGTTGGCGTTGCTGCCGCTATCGTCGTTGTCCGAGTTCCAGTAGATCACGGGATCCATTCCGTACGAGGGCATTCCCGAGTAGTCGGGTGCTGTATCTGTCGACCGATTCGCTGTCAAGAAAGCAATGAGCTCCTCAGGTGCCATGGGAGGGGTCTCTCTGGTGGCATGATTGGGCATCGCCGTGGGCAGAAAAGAAGCTATCCAAGCTCTGGGGCCGGTATCCTCGTTGCTGTGGCCACCGTGGGCCTGGTTGTGATCGTTGTTAGCCGTGGTGGCGTCCTCCTCCTTGTTCTCGTCGCCGTCGACGTCCATATCATCGCTATCGTCCTCGTTCTCCTCCTCGACAGCCTCGTTGCCTGTAGCCTGCTGGTTCCTGAAGACCTCCGAGGGGCCAGGACCGTCGTGGTTCAAGGGCAGGCTGGGAAAGGCACAATGGGGGGCCAGAGCCGCATTGTAGGGCACATCTTGGTGCACGAACGTGGGTCTATCGGCTCTGGTAGGGCCATCGTCGTTATCTGCGTAGCGGCCCGGAAGTCGGCGCTGCGAGGCGTCACGTAGGCGCATGGGAGACATTCTTGGCTGGTTAAAATACGTTCGTCGAGGGTATTTATGCGTTCGTCGGGCGCACTTGGGGGTTAACCGAAGGTATGGAGGCGTTTTTCAAAGGTAATTAGACGCTATTAAACTATTAGCCCCTATATACACCATACACAATGCGCACATCAGTCGGTTATAGACCTCATCAGCTTCAGTCAATATACCCAGTCCCTGACACGTGATCAGACTAGACCCTTTCCTCCAATAGCAGCTGCTATGGGGAGCATAGTGCCGGTAATGAGAAGCTCAAAACTGGTTGCAAAAGGGAGGCTGAGAGGGTAGAAGGGGATGATTTTGGCTCTCATAGGCCTCTGGACGACAGCTCCTGTCCAAGGTGTGTCCAAAGTGTGCTCTTCATTGTCGTAAGCTGCCTGGCTGCTGCCTCACTTGTCATAGTTGAAAGGCCAAATTCCATGCGAGGAGCAAGCCGGGCACAAGGCCGGGCAAGAGGCCGTGGAAGCTGCTGGGGAATTGCCCACGGTGCGGTTTTCGGGCCGGGCATGGACCCGGGCAACCAGGAGGGGAAAAAGCGAAGAGCTGGGTGACCGCGCGGGTAAGGGAACGGCGAAGGGATTGCGATGCCGAGGGAAATGCAGGCAACGAGCTAGCGACGGGATATCGATGAGGGCAACGGACAGGGGAGTCCTGCGGGCAACGATCTGGTGAAGACATCGCGGCGCGGTCGTCGAGGCGGCCACTGATCCGGGCAACTAGATGGCGAAATGATTGCGATGAGGGCAAAAAACAGAAGTCTGTTGCCCTCATCACTTTTCATTCCCCGAGCGCTTGCCCGCGCAGTCCTCCGGCCTGTCTGCATAGCGGCCAGGTATTCGGGGCTGTGACGCGTTGGAGACATCTTGCCTGTAAAGCGGCGAGAGGCTGGTCCGAGGAGATATTGAGGCGTTCGGAAAAGGTGTGGAGACATTGACGGGAATCAGGACTGACAGGACGAGGCTCAAGGCGCGAGAGAAGAACTGGGTGTCGAGAACCGAAGACGGATAATGACAGGGGCAACGGATGAGGGAGACATGCCGGCAACGATGTGGTAAAGGCAACCCAACTGGACACTAGGCGTAACTGCCTTGGTCAAGTTTGAGAAGGAAATTCGCCTTGCTGGTCGTCTTGGTTCATCTGCTGGTGTAGATGAATCGCCGCTAGCTGATTGATGACCAAGAGGCATCAGTTGATGCGGTGACGCGTAAATAGTGTTAGGGGAACAAACGAGGCCGAGTTCCAAAGCCCAACTAGTGGCGACGCAAGGAGAGATGTAGGGAATAACTTGAGGGTATTGCGGGTGTTCAAGTTCCCCAAGAGGCACTTGACTTGGGTGAGGGCAGGCAAGAGAGGACTCGAGGACTGCCTCGAGGATCAACCAAAACATCGCAAAAGTAAGACGCGCGAAACAGAAAAGGGTTCCTGAAGGTGATGACTGAAGCTAAGAGACCGATAAAAAAGGTGGAAGCAATCACGGCATGAGGCGAGATGTGGGGGATAGGGGGTTGAATACATACCAAAGGTTGTTGTTGGTCTGGGGAAGAAGAAGAGAGGAGAGAGAAAGGTCGAGGTGGTGGGTTTTTGTAGACGGCCAGGCGCTTGGGCCACCAGGCTCTACAGCGAAACGAAAGCCCTTATTCAGAGAAGAGTCCGAGCTCCCTATTGTCTTTCGTCCGGAGTCGTGTTGTTTGTTTACGTGGTGATGCTAGGGAAAGACCGGATAGTTGAATATCGCCCGCTCACCGAGGCATACACACCGCCACAGCGCCTCCCAGATTCAACCAAAAGCTTTTGAGCGCTTAAGGCTGTCTGTTCTTTATGTGTTTACATTGTGATACCCTGTGCTCGGAGTTTTAAAGGCCAGATTAACGTCACGAGGTCCATTTGCTGGGTTTGATTTCTCGAGGCCCCCCTGCAAGCGGTTCTCTTTGACAGCAATGCCACAGCTCCAACACTGCGTCCGAGGCAATACCGTGTAAATAAATACCATGGCAAACTCTGATCTTAAATAGCTAGCGCTAGCACGCTCTCGAGCATCCACTCAATAGACCAAAACCCTGCTCGCAAGAATAGCTACTGTTCAGCCACTCTCGTCAACACGTTCATGTCTTTGAGCTCGGTTCACATCCAGAGGACAGGAAGAACAATGTTGTAATTGGCAGCTATTTGAAATCGAAGACAGGGTTGTGTAGCTGCAACTATGCTCCCATGCAGAGGCACACAACAAACCAAGATTCCATCCAAGTTTCGCTCCCCATACCTCTGTGAATTAATCCCTTGTTCTTATAAATTGGACTTATAGAGCGCCGCCGGTTTGCATCTCAAAGAAAGGGGCAATAACAAATCCCCCATCGCCGAGGGCGACCAGATTGTGGTGGCTATTTCCGCCGGCGTTGAGGATCCCCTTCAAGTTGGAGGGAAACACTATGTAGTTGCATAAGCACCTATCCCCAGTGGTTGCCATCCGAAGTCGCGAACCTCAAAGGCTTGGCACCTTGAAAAAAGCTCGTGACCACTTTGAAGAAAAGTGTGGGGCTATTAGGGCGAAGTGGCAAGGGATTTTGGTTTCATGACTGGGGGAGAGAGCGATGTCCAGCGTGACGTCATTGACGCTTGTCTACTCTACAACCAAGGGTGTCAGGACAGTCCAAGTGGGCAGATGGCAGACAACACAAAGCCCCTGCCGTTCTTTGATGGCAGGTTCAGGTCAAGCACAATATTTGCAGACGGCGCATTAAGTTCTGGGTTTGAGGCTAGGCTCATGTTGTAAGAAGATGTGCTCTGTGTGTGCCCCATACCATACTCAAGGCAGGAACGATACAGGTTGGCGACGACGTCAGGTACTTGGGGTTTAGACCCAAGCCGTGATAGAATCCCACCGAGGAAGTTCAGGAAATGGCAGAAGAAATCAACCCAGTCCTCTTCTCAGGCACAGCAAAAACAAGCAGCAGAAGAGGATTCCATTGCCTGAAGACACCAGCATGATCCATTTTCAAAGTATAACGAAGCACACATGATAAATGGTTACTAACATCCAAGGCGGTCAGCCGAATCTCAGCCTTGCACAATTTGTGGCAGACAATGACGTCATTTGTTTACATGGTGATGTTTCCATATCAGACCACACAAGTCAGCAGGCAAAAGAGACGCTCGGGCCAAGTCAGGATCAATGCTGATGGGGCAAACAAGGCAAAAGGTCCAAAAAGAATGAGCACTCCCCCCAGGAGTCGAACCTGGGTGCTCCCCCCTTGGTAGCAAAGAAATATAGTACATCCAAGAAAAGGGGGGTGTGTTAACCGCTACACCAGGGAGCCGGCGCGTTTGATGTCAGTCCTGCTTGGTATTCATGTTTATATTCCCCTGAGGGCTGTAATCAGACAATGAAGGAGCAAGATCGCTGTCGGACTCCGGCCGTTGCGCATTGACACAATTACAACAACTAACTCGTGACCAAGAATTCACACACGTCAACCGCAAACCCAGTCAATTGAAGCAACACCACAGCTTCGTATCGCCAGGATCGCGATGCAAAGTCAGGGGTAAGCAAACAAAGACCTATCGCCGCGACAACCACCTGACATCTCTGACAGTCTCCCAGGCACCCAAACACGACAAACGCTCCTCTATCCCCTGCGCGACTGGCAATGCGTTCTGCTTGACACGGGAGACAAGCGACGCGAAATATATAACCGGAATACCCATCGCCTAGCCTCGCGCATATACACCTAGCCGAAACACATCTTGAAGCCATAGAGGGCTCGACTGCCCATCATAGAGTAGCTCTTGTCCTCAAGTACTCCCACCAGAGAGATGTTGACAAGTACTCCCACCAGAGAGATGTTGACAAGATACCTAGATGAAGCGCTCTCCAACAGTCATATGCATTCCGCAATGCAGATGGCGCTGTTGTCGAGAAGAGACAGCTCCATGTATCCACACAATTCCCTCGGTATCATCAAGCTTGTAGCCACAATCTTCATCGTCGAGGTCCTGTTCTCGCCCGTTACCATCCTGCTTGGCGACCCCACAACTGGCGATATCGAGCCTCAACAGAGCATCATGCCGTCCTCTTCAATCGTCACTCGCGACAACATGGCTCCAATCTCCATCACGGTATTCAACGCTGACAACGGCGTGTGTCACCTTGCCAATTGCCATTGAAGGCCCGTTGCGCCACCCAACACACAACTTGACTGATATGAGCCGGAGGTTGTATCGATTGACATGGTTCTCGGTAGCAATCAAATGCGTGGAGGATGGAGACGGATAGGACATGAGAGCACCCGCATGCTCATCTTGTTTGCTGGTTGTAGGCCTAGCTGGTTGGGGAGTCGCGACCCGACAGAATGGTAACACCTGCGATTGGCTTCACCCCTGCAAAGCGCCAACCGCCCACCAGGGTCATCCAGCCATTTACTGTGTAAAGGTCGGGAGCGCCCATTTGTTGCTCGTCCCTCCAAATTCTGAACATTCAACATTTCAGTCCCCACCCGACTTCGTGCCAATGGCGTCCAAGCGAGGGTTCTTGGACGCGGTGTTGGAGAGCAACAAACGGCACAAGTCTTACACAGCTATCGTGTCACGCCCATTGCAGCCGTTCAATTTTGCCTTGGCCAGTCTCGCGAAACTGCCCGACAATGCTGTTCTAGAAATCGTCGACATCCTCCAGGCCACCAGCCCATGCACCTTGCCAGGCCTCGCATTGGTTTGCTCATATCTCTACCAGCAGACACGCTCGGTGCAATACCATCCATGACGTCCATGCAGGAGCTCCATTGGAGCTGTATGGCCATGCCGGATCTGATTTTCAAGGGGCTCGAGGAACGCCCCAACATACGACTGCACCTGAAAGCCTGGCGCGGGATCAAAGCCGACAGTCCCATTTCCCATCTTCAAGCTCTACTTGGTCACTTGAAAGGGAATGCAAACCTCCACGCATTAGACATCAGGATCGTATTTCTTGCTCCACAGTCGCCAACTCCCGTGATGCATCCCCTCAAGTCGGTATTAACCTCATGTCCGAATATCCGCAATCTGATGCTCGACATCGAAGTCATTCCGAGCTATAGTGCCGAACGAGAGAATTGCGGGCTTGGCCTAGTCGTGGGCGAGCGACTGCCTCCCCTAGAGAGCCTGAGGGTTCGGAACTATGCCTGGAGAAACCCAGCTCCATTCGACCCGGAGGCAGTCCCTGAAGCAGAGTACTGGGCTAACGACTTTGACTGGACACGCCTCCGAAACCTCCATCTCGGTTCCCGTCCTGAAGCGCAACTTTGGCCCCTGGCTGCCCGCCTCATATCGCTAAAATGCCTCCAGCTCGAGCTCGGGTTTCACCTCGACGAAGTCATCCAGTTTTTGCGCAGTCTCCCACCTACGGCCCAACTAGAAGATGCAACTCTCCTTTTCCTCCCAGAAGCGTCCCTCCTCCCAACAACCATCCGCACTTTAGCCATCAAGTAGGGCCGCTTGAGTAACTACGACCTCGTCCAGCTGCGCGAGGCACTGCCTGTTCTCGCATCGCTCAGCCTCACGGTCACTGGTGTATCTCCCGGAAACGACTGGCCAATACCAACCAGGTTCCTTGGATCCTTCCCTCATCTCAGGGAGCTATCTCTCTTCTTCGAAATTCCCACTTCGCCACAACTGAGCCTCGGTGGCCCGCTCCCCATGCCAGCACTGACCTACAAGTCAGCAGCGGACCTATTTTCACAGATCCACGCCCACCCAAAACCCTTGACCCGGGTGAAGCTGGGCCAGGGTAAATGGTACGATGGCCGAGCTCGGCCCCATGCTTCAACAGCCGACGGCCAGAAACGTTCCGTAGACGAGGACCAGTGGCGCTACAATGTATTGACGAGCTTGAGTACCGTTTTTGGTCTACAGAGAGGCACACTTGGCGGTCATCTCGAGATGCCATCCTGAATCTAAAACGTTTATTGTGTCCACCTAATCGCGTGAAGCTCAAAGATTTGTAACCGCAACATAGCGTGCATGATTGGCAATATCAATAGTTGAGATGAGCCATTGGACCGTGAAGTTCCACATCTCCAACCCGCGGGCAAGAACCCCTTACCTCGGCTGGAGGGATATTGCCAACTGAAGAATCAAACAGTTCGCTCAACAGCCGCCATGATGTCCATCCAAACATTGCAGCATCGGTAGCGCACGTGTGAAATCCCCAAGACCCATAATCCACCAGCATCAGGGCCGTGAATTCTGCACCGTCACAGCTGGGCAAAGAGACTCCTCCCCCAGAGGTTTCTCTCCTCACGTCATAAAACGTTGCTTGGCCTACCGATGACGCCGGACGCCAATGGCCGGTCAGTCAGAGGGATGATCTCGTTGTCTGACGTGTGGTAGCTCAACCTCCCCGTCCAAACCTCTTCGTTCAAACCGCCCGTCCTAAATCATGACTGATCACATCCCCGAAATCGACTAGACGCCACCACTATGACGTCCTCAATCCACCAGTGAAGGTGTCCATGTCTGCTTCTCGGTCTGGCCTTTGATCAGCCTCGGGAAACAAAAACGAGCAGGCAAGGCATGACGCAGTTGCGTCTTACCAGACTGATACCGGAGAATGGCTTGCGGAACGGCTCGCTCACGTATACAAGGGGAACAACCAGCATCCCATGACCCGTATCATCGGGCGATATTACATCTACACAAACACTGTGCGCTATCCGAAAGCGGGAGGCCTTATACCGTCGAATACCCCATGCCGGAACCCCGAGCTAACCACCAGTCTACGTCTACGGTGTCCTGCTCATGCATGCTACGCCATGAACTGGAAATAATGAACCTCGAGTGTCCAAAAAAAAACCGCCCACTAATGCAATGCTGCCTCTCTCTGAGTGAAATCAGGGGGCCATCCAAGCGCCAAACACCAATGCACCGCTGGTCCGGATCACTAGCCAAGTCAACCCCGACCTGTGCCCCACGGTGGGCCGACATGCCTCCAGACCAGAACCGAATCTATCCCGCCGCCGGACAAACACGCCCCCGGAATCATCTCCAGACCAGAAATGGTCCAGAATAAAGACACCAACCACCCAGACCATCATCCCCCAGCCGTGACCAGAACGCACCCAGACGAGACTCACCCCCTCTCCACAAACGGCACAAACCCTCTCCCGGTATACCTCTCCACCTCCACCTCATCAACAACCATCCCATTCTCCTCACTCACCAACACCTCATCCACCCTCCTCTTCCCACCCTCCACCTTTTGCTCCACCCCTGCAAACCCCTGCACATCCCTCCTCGCCCGTAAAATATCCCCATACACCTGCATGGCATTCTTGGTATCATCATCGAACATGACGCAAAACCGCTTGAGCCCGACAAACTGCACAGCCATAACCAAATCGACCGCATACACCGTCATAATGTACGCCCCCACAACGGCCGCACTCCTCTCATTCCCCGTCTCGCACACAACCAAGACCCGTCCCCGTGGCCCCGCAAGCTCCAAATGCGCATTGATCAGCCCCACGGCCCTGGTAAACGCCCCGGCGAGCTCCCAATGCCCCGAGATATCGATATTCTCCCTCGCGATGCCCAGCTCGGCCGCCACCTTGTCGACGATAACAAAGCCGGTGGTGGGGAACCGCGCGTTACGCAGCGCAAGCATCATGGTGATCCCCTCGTTTGCAATGAACTGACGGTCGCGCACGGCGCTAGCGGGCCCGAGATACATGTAGGGGAGCACCTGCTGGATCTGGCGGCGCGCTTCGTAAACCCATTGGTTGGCGTTGTCTTTGGCTGCCAGGGGACCGTACGAGGCGACGGTTTGGAAGGCGGCTTCGGTGAGTCCTGCTGAGCCGAGGTTGCTGGGGGAGGGCGTGAGGGTGAGGGCGCGAAAGAGACCTTTGCCGCCAGCCGTGTCCATGCCCATGAAGGGCGGGACATGGATGTACGGCGGGGAGGGAGGTCGGTTGCTGAAGGGGGCTGTAGCTTCGATGGATCCCGATATGGGTATTGGTTGGTCCATGGCGTGATCCATTGTTGGTTTGTGGTGTTACTGTTGCCTGAGGCAATGCAATGCGATGTGAGATGTGCGTGATGTCGAATTTCTGCTGCTGAGAATGCTTCCGAGTGAGATTGGTGATTGCGCAGTGCGATTTAGGTGATGCGCAGTGCGATTTAGGTGATGCCCGTTTTAGATTTTATTTACGCGCGAATACTCTCTCAAATTGGGTTGAGGCACATATAAATATCGGACGGAACCGCGTTGCGCGAGTGAGAGTTCGTGACGTGGAGATGCGAGATCGCGCCTGAGTTGATGTCAATTTGGCCGTGCTTGGCGCGAAGG